AAAATTTTAAAAGGTTTTAAAAACATCATAACTAAAGATTTTTAGAGTGCTACTACAAGAATATCAAATTTGACGTGTGCAACATAATCTACATACCAGACACATATCAACGATGTAGATGTTGATAATACGAAGAATGTGACATTGTGTTTTTAAATGTTAAATTTTAGACTGGGTTCAGTGTGGCAGCAACGTTAAGAGTATACACCTGATGATGGCCGATAGAGGCCGAAACATGTAGTGTAGAAAGAACAAGATCAAAGACATATAATATATATTGTTTGCACTTGGGACGGACTTTGTATCATTTTTCGTGTAGAGTGCAACAGGATGCTTAAATATAATATATTATGGGAATTTGTTTTCCTTCTTGAGTATGACACCACGTGTTTTATATCATTAAATTTATAGGAAGATTATTGACAACGTGCGTGGTGAGATCAATAAACGACAGTGGATCATCTTTGATGGAGATGTAGATCCGGAGTGGGTTGAGAACCTGAATTCTGTGCTGGATGACAACAAATTGCTTACATTGCCAAACGGAGAGCGGTTGTCTTTGCCTCCGAATGTCAGAGTCATGTTTGAAGTAAGTTCTTGTTTATGGTGTTCGACCTCAGTGCAACTAGAGTACAGTTCTATAGGACAAATCGCAGAGTCCCAGTAGATGTGCCATATACCAACAAGTGTGATATGTGGTACAAATTGCTTTACAACTTAATTGAGAACACGTAATTTATTCAGTGATGCTGCCTGTTTTTTTTATTGCTAGTAGGGTGGGACTAAGTCCCTTGCACTGCGGCCACTTCTGGACTATTGTACCAGTCCCAGATGATAGGTGAGGGTAATTGTGGAGCACTTTGTGGAATGAAGATTGGCAGGGGAAACCGAAGTACTTGGAGAAAACCTGCCCCAGTGCCACTTTGTCCACCACAAATCCCACTTGACCGAACCCAGGCTGCCGTGGTGGATAGCCGGCGACTAATCGCTTGAGCTATGGCGCGTCCAATGCTGCTTGTAACTCACACTATATGTAACATTGAATGAATGGATAGCACTGAATACTGGTTTGGAAAAGGATATGAAAGGAACCAATCAGGGCCTGATTTAAGGGACTGAAGAAAACTGCGGCATACCTTAGCACAGTTGCTGTCCTGGCGGTATATTTGAACGCTGAACTGAGGAAACTTTTAAGTGGAGGATTTTTAACATTGAAATTATTGACCTTGGATTGTTGAAACTGAACATTAAATGAGGTGAAACCTGAAATTGAGGTACATGAAGGGGGGAATTCCACTATAATATGTGTTGTGGCCTCATATGCATGCCTCACCACGCTCCAAGGGCAAGTAATGTAGGAAGGGCCACTCTTGAAGATGTATTTGGCATGAGGGACTGCATGCCTCAGTATATATCACCAGAGATTCTGACATCACCATATCTCAGTGTAATTAAGAAACGTTTCTGTAGTGTGAAACCTGGGAAAGTTGGCTCAAGCAACAGTGCTTATGACTTACATTTTGGAGGTGTCCAGTCTGTCTCAGGCTGGATGAATATCCTGATTTTTTTAGTTTTTTTTTTAATCCTCTAAGCAGATGCTGTGGCGAAACCTCAAATTGGAGCATGCCCACTTCCTTTCACATCCTTTCCAATTCACTCTTCACTTTCCTCTAAGCTTTTGATGCTGTATAGTGTGAGTTACCGACAGTGTCATTAAATAAATAAATAAGAGATGTAAAATAGTGAAAACGATGAATATTTATCTTTTATTGGTGGAACATTAATTGATTAAACCTGTAAAATAGGATCCATAGTATCTTGGTACAGACCAGTCATTTGCCTAAAATTATGTAGCATGACATATGAAATAAATATTTTTATGATGATCTTTGTGTTTTGTGGTGATGCTTCTGATGCTTTGTGTTTCCTTTATGCTTTCCTTTGGCCATGCTGTGAAATCAACACATTTGTACTGGTGTTATAGGTTCAGGACTTGAAGTATGCAACTCTAGCCACTGTGTCCCGTTGCGGGATGGTCTGGTTTTCCGAAGACGTGTTGTCCACTGAAATGATCTTTGAGAACTACATGTCACGTCTGCGTAACATTCCCCTAGAGGAAGCTGATGAGGACTCTGGCTTTGGCAAGAAGACTGAGAATAAAGAGGATGTTCTGTCACCTGCATTGCAGGTACTCTGCATGGCATATATTCCACAAACTTCTTTACTAAGCACGAAAACAAATTTATTTTCAGTGCTTGCATGTGTGTCTGCATTTAAGTTTTGAACATTAACACTGTTGGGGGCATGCGGCAGTGTAGTTGGTTGAGGCACCATGCTACGAGCCGGAAGGTCACAGGATCAAATCCTGATGAGGTGGATTTTTTCAACTGACCAAATCCTTCCAGCTGCACTGTGGCCCTGGGGTTGACCCAGCCTGTAACAGAAATGAGTACCCGGGAATCTTCGAAGGGGTAAAGGGTGGCCGGTGCCTAAGGCTGACAACCTTACTACCACCTGTGGGCTGATTGTCTAGATAATGTGGGACCCTCAACGTCTCTGAACCCTATGGGCCTCCACGGCCTGTTACACAGATAACTTTAACTTTACTTCATTAACGCTGTCTCTCTCATCTTTCTTCTGTTTTTACCCTCTCCTGTTTAAAACATTTACATGCAAACATGCGAGACCTTGCCTGCAAAAAATAACTTCTCACTGTTTTGCTATCTGGCTGCTGAAGCAGAAGAGGTGAAGTCTTCATCTTAAAGACTGATGATGTGATAATGTGCTGCCTGGTTAGGGCTCTCACATGCTTTAGGGTTGTGTAATTGAGCAGTGGAGGAATGATGATCGGTAGAGAAAAACAGAAGAAACTGAGAACCTTGCTGCAGTGCCACTACAGCTGTCAGGAATCTTACATAAAGTGACCCAAAGTTCCCCAGGAAATCACCTCTATATTAAACATTATTATTTGAAATATCTTATCAGACCATCATTAATTTAATTTTGAGCATATTCTCATTGTAAGAAAAGCCATTCTCCAAGCGATCCGTTAAGTAGTGAATTTTCCATAAGTAATTATGTCATTTACTAGTTTTGCAACTGTAAACCTAGAAGCTATTCCAGCAAAGTTTGAAATGTGAGTATAATTGTGTTTGATTGATGTTCAGGTCCAGCAAGAGGTGGCAAGTATTTTGCAGCCATTCTTTTCACCTGATGGTCTGGTGGTGAGATGCCTCGAGTTTGCAATGAAACAAGAACATATCATGGACTTCACAAGACTTCGAGCCCTCAGTTCTTTGTTTTCCATGCTTAACCAAGGAGTCAGGTAATATGGCTGGAAGTTGTTAATTTTATAAGCATATCCTGTTCAGTATTGAAATCAATATAGTGCAACCCCCACGTTATGTTCCACAATTTAATGTTTTCCATCAGATAGCCTTCAGTTTCAATAATATTAGCATCACATTTCCTGCAGTAAAGATTTTCCTAAGTTGAGGGTTGGTTCAGTCACTAAATACCTCTTAACCCGTTGCCGTGGTTCGACGTGTATGTTTCGTCAGGGATTTAAATCGTCTGGGGGGGTTCGACGTGTATGTTTCGTCCAGCTGCACACGTATGTTATAACGCCCATAATAATTGATGGTTTTGCTGTAGATTGTTAGATTTTTCACTGGCCTGTTGTCAGGAGGACTGTATTTAATGACACACGCGTTTAAGAGCGCTAAGTCGTCGTTACATATGCCTGTCTTGCAGCAACGTTCCTGTGGCTATTGCGAGCTGTTTCTGTTATGAATGATGTGTTTTGTTTGCTCTGAAGCTATAAACACCAGAGACTGATATGTG